CTCCAGCAGGGCTGCTCACACCTCTCTACAACCTAGTCTGCAACATGACTCAACTTGAAATTCAAACTCTTTGTTTCTTTCCAAAATTTTTTTCTAAGAAAATGTCAAAGATATTAAAGAGCGAGAACAGGTAACAGACTGCCCAGCTTCAGCCTCTGTCACCTCTGCCTTCCTTCCACCACTCGATTAAAAAGAAAATGTCAGACATCACAGAATTTCTTCCATGCATGTGTCTGTGTGTATCTTGAAAACATAAAGGCTCTTTTAACCTAAAACAAATTCAATGATAATTCTTTTATTTTTAAAATAAAATGCTTTTATTGATTTTAGAGAGAGCAACATTGATGAATCATTGATTGGCTGCCTCCTGCATGCCCTCTACTAGGGATCAAGCCTGCAACCCAGGCATGTAACCCTGAGCCAGAACTGAACCAGTGACCAACCTCTTGGTGCATGGGTCAAGGCTCAACCACTGAACCACACTGGCCGGGTAAATTCAATGATAATTCTTTTTTTAAAAAAATATATTTTATTGATTTTTTTACAGAGAGGAAGGGAGAGGGATAGAGAGTCAGAAACATCAATGAGAGAGAAACACCGATCAGCTGCCTCCTGCACACCCCCCACTAGGGTTGTGCCCGCAGCCAAGGCACATGCCCCTGGCCGGAATCGAACTCGGGACCCCTCAGTCCACAGGCCGATGCTCCATCCAAACCGGCCAGGATCAATGATAATTTGTTATCATCAAGTAGCCAGTCAGTATTCAACTTTTCCTGACTGTCTCGATTTTTCCCTTTATGGCCTCCAATCAGAATTCAGGTGGGGGTCAGTGGTCATGCGCTGCCCTTGGTCATGTGGGCCTTGAAGGAGGTCCTAGACACTATCGGTGTAAACAGCAAACTTGCCATGTGGATGGCTTTGTACAGAGCTGTGATCACGTCTACAGACTGAGTTTCTAGGTGCTGAATTGCTGAGTGAGTGATTACGTTCGGTGTGGTGGCTTTTGATACATGTTCCGAACTGCCTTCAGGAAAGCTGTGGCCTATGGTAGGGCTCAGAGAGCTGTGCAGAGTGTCTAGCCCTGGCCTGTCACGAGATGGATGCTACGTCAGCAGGAGTCCGAGTGGTTCAGGCCATTCCAGTGGAACGTCCTGGAGGGCTGCGTCTGCATCAGGGAGAGGACAGAGGCCTGGGGACCGAGGAGACAGAGAGGACCGGAGGGAACGCGCAGAAAGAGCAAAGGCCTCGACAGAGCGGTGGCCATGCGCCTCGGCTCTGGTGCACAACCTACGTTCAAGCCCTTGACCACACACTGACCAGCTGTGGCCAGGAAGGTTCCCTGATGCCGCTCGGACTTCCTCTCCTCACCTGAGAAATGGGACGGCAGTGCCTACACACAGGTGGGCTGGTGTGTGGATTACATGGAGTGTGCGGGCCATACAGTAGATGCTGACTAAATGAGCGACATAAGGACACTGACTGTGACGTGTTTAGAAGGCGAGCCTGGCTCTCAAATGCCAGCACCCCCCACCCGGAGCTCACCTCTTCTCCACAGAGAGAATGGCTGTGCAGGCGTTTTTCAATCTGTGAGCGAATCGGAAGAGTGTTTTAAACAGAGCATCAGTTAGGTCATCGTCGTAGAACACTGCAGGCAAGAAGACAGGCATTAGGGGAAAACGTGCAAATACCAGAGAAATCTGTTCCTCAGAGGACTGTTGAGTATGTTTCCCTCCACGTTCTGTGTGGAGTAGGGTTCGGTATCTGAAAGAGGGGCCGCACACAAATGAGAGAGAAATGACATGAGATAATTTTGAAATATTGGGGGACCAGGCGGGCAAGTCCGGAAGGACTGCCACCGAAGCTCAGGCCGCTCCAACCTTTTATTTGATCTGGGGTAGCCCTAGGGTAAGGTGGTTTGAATGACACATAGAAGGTAGGGAGGTTGCTTCAGCTACCAATATCTAGATTAACTGGGTGGTGCACAGCCCTAACCATTGCTAGGGCTTCAAGGTTACTAACTTTTGGGGGTCTCTGTCTATACTCAACTAGTGAAGACAATAAATGGACTTCGGCAGAGGACCCCACGCCACCACGGACGGGGCCCTGATGAACCAGAGCATCAGTTCTCGGAATTCACACTGCACGGAGATGTGGGGATGTCCCGGGAAGGTGCTCCTAGACGCAGAGGACACCGAGCGGCGGGATGCTGCGTGTGGCCCGTGACAATGACACTGGCTGTGAGGGGCCGGCCTCACCTTCGGCCGCGAGCAGTATGGTGGTGTGGTCGTACAGGTCGGAGATGTCCTCTTCCGACCAGCTGAAGGGGACTTCAGGGTCTGGGAGAAAAGAAGAAACAGTGTTTTGTGCTCTCTCCTTCCTCTGTGGCCACCAACTCTGACTGAGAGACAGACTGAGGCTTCAGAAGAAATGGGGTTGGGGCCGTTCGGTGCAGCAGGCACTGCCAGGCAGGCCCGAGTCCCAGCGCCCCAGCGCCCCAGCTTCAGGGACACGGCTGCCTACGCGGGACCACAGTGAGAGGTGCCCTTCCGCGACGGGGCAGCGCAGTGAGTGGGGACGGGTGGACTTGGCCTCACCCTCTGCCTTGCCCGCAGCTTGTGCAAACACGACCTGTCCCGTGTCCCTGGCTCCCAACCCGTGTTCACTGTGTGACCCCGGGAAAGGGCTTCACCTCTGGTTTCAGGGTCTGCACTAGACGGCTCCCTCAGAGGATGGCTGAGGAGGGGACAGGACCTAAGGTATGCTATGTGCTTGGTCGGTGACAGGTACTCCACAAGCAATGATTTTCCCTGCCTGACGTCTTACAGGGAAAAGAAGTTTTCATACAAAGAAAGAGCAAGCCTACAGGTCTGAAACAGTTTGTAGAAGGAATTCAGAAAACCCTCACCCAGAGCCCCGAAGCCATGTGGCCGACTCCCTGCTGTGGGAGGGTTCACACCGGTTCCCCTGGGTGGGCACTCACCCCGAGCACTGGTCTCCACTCATTACTCAAGAGTTCACACCTGCTGCACAGTGACACTGTGGAGTCTGAATACCATGAATGGAAGGTGCCTGGCATACAGCAGGTGCCATGAATAACCCCTGTCACTTTCAGCCACTGAAGGGAACTTGCTGTGAGCTGTGGACCGTGGTAGCAGCCTGGATCTGCTGTCAGTCAAGGCCACAGGACCACCAGCCTTGAGATATTACCAGGAACCACTGAATCAAATGGGACACGAGAGGAAGACACGCACCAGTGCAGAGGTCGTCTTTCAGCCAGTCCAGTTCTCTGACCTTAACTCCACCGCCTGTAAAACAAACAAACAGAACTTCCCAAGCTCTGTAAACAACTAGGAAAAAGGAGAAACGTTTACACTGTACACCAAAACCCATCCATCCATCTCACCCTCCTTTATTCTCCCTCTCTCCTTCCTATCCATCCATCTTCCCACTCATCCATATATATCCTGTTATCCATCCACCCATCCAGCATTTTTTGAGTGCTGAGTATTAGGTCTCATGCCAGGCACAGGGAATACAAAGATTTATGAGACACGTGCCTGTGCCTGGGGACCCACAGCTGAGGAGAGACTGGCAAGTTAGCAGACACGGACAAGGCAGGAGGTCAGGGCAATGTTAAAGGTGCCCAGGAGGAAAGAGGGGCTCTCGTGTCGGCAGGGTGTTGGGAAGGCCCAGAGAAGGCAACCATGCCTGCTTCGTGCTTCATCCTGCTGACTGGTTACCGTACACTGGGCACTAAACAAACACCAAGCAGTGGGGATCACAGACAGGGCCCTGCCCTCATGGGGCACGTGGTCTAACGGGATGGCAAACACCAATCAACCAGTCGCATCAACAAATGTCAAATGCAATGGTCCAAGGTGTCATGAGTGTCTGTGACGGGGCTGTGACCTCATCTGGAGCTCGGAGCATAATTAGGAACTGATGGAGGAAGAGGGAGAGAAGGCTGTTCCAGGCAGAGGGAGCAGCAAGTTCGCAGGCCTCGAGGGGAGGGGAACCTCCAACAAGGCCAGGAAGACTCGGCTGGAGGAACCGCTGTGTGGGAGGGGCTATAGACAGGTAGGGCCAGATCCTGCAGATCTCAGACAAGCAAACAAATTCGGTCTGTACTCGGAGAGCATCGGGAAACCTATAAAAGGTTGGCAGCTGGAATGACCGGATCTGAATCTGGAAAAGCGCCCCAGGCTGCTCAGAGGATGAAGGTCCGCACAGGCAGTCCAATGAGGAGTTGGCTGCTGGCATGTACCATGCAAGCTATTCCTGCAGGTGGTGCAGGCTGGCAGGGGGGACATTCCGACAGAGGGAGGGGCATCTGAAATGGGTCCTCGGCTCACTGGATGCAGGGCTGGAGCGGGACCATCAGGAGAAGAGGCAGGAGAGGCAGGCAGAGATGGACCAGGAGGTTTGGGAGCCAGAGAAAGAGCTCGAACTTTACCCCTTGAAGAGGCCAGGCTTCATCTAGAAAGGTCACTCTGGATGCTACATGGAGGACAGCTTGGCCGGGTCAGAAAGGACCTGGGTGATGAGGGAGAGGCCACTGTGACGTGCAGGAAGGAGAGGGCTGACGTTGGCTGTGGCATGGGAAGGAGATGATGCAGGGACAGTCATCTAGGATCTGAAACTACGTGAAACTAATAAGGCTCTGGTCCCTGCATTCACTGGGGTGTAGAGGGAAGCAGGCGGAACCCCGTCTCCCAGGTCACGGTCCTGGGTGTTTGTCCCACTTGCCAAACAGAGACCCCTCCCTCTCAGGCTGGGCCTCACCTCCAGGGGCAGTCAGGTGGCTGTTGAGGGCAATGTTTCGTTGGCACGTGGCCAAGAGGTCTGCACCGACATCTGGAACGACAGAAGGATATGCCATCAAGCGCCGGCCACTATGACGCTGTATTTCCGTGTTGTTGCCCGGAGAGCTGATATCAACAGCACAACTACAGAAACGTGCAACACTGAGCCTAAACGTCTCCTGTGTGTTTTACTGCCAAGATTAACTATGTACCTTAAGGCTCTTTTTAATGAGCTTTCCTTTAAATAAGAGATGGTCGTCCTGGTGGAGACAGACTCTGTGCATGCCAGAGTGAGGGGTGAACTCCCCTTCTCTAGTTTCTGAAACCTGCACGGCACATCCCATAGCCACGCTGAGTGTTTCTAACCACCCACAAGCCGGGATTACGGCTCCCATCTCACAGATGATGGCTTGAGCAAGGTCATGCCACTAGTAAGAACAAGGGCTGGGATTTGAACCTAAGCGTCTCTGACTCCAAGTCTAGGCTCACTCTTTGACACCCCAGAAAACTGACCAGAGTTAGAGGGGTGCTCGGATATGATTAATGGATACACAGAGCAAATTCAAACAGGCTGGAGGCAGCTCTCCTGTGCACGATTCACTGCCACTGCCATGGCATCTTTCCCCAGCCGCCTGCTACTCTGACCAGGTGGGGTTTCCTATCATTTCAGCAGGACTGAGTTGCAGTGCAGAGAA